CCGCAGCCCGGCCCAGGGGCGCCGCGTCGGGGTGGTGTCGCCCCCGCGGTTCCCGGAAGCTCCTCGGATGGAAGGGCCCGGACAGCCGTCCCAACTTCCCCGCGGGGTGACACGGGGGCCGGCTCGTCGCGCCAGCGGGTGGGAGAAAAGCACGCGTGGGTGTCGGCAGATACACAGAACCACTCAGCACCCACGGGGCCGCTTCGGGGTGAGGTTTTTGGTCGGGGTGAAGGTCGCTGAAATGAGCGACCAGGAACTGGACAGCCCTAGGAAAGCATCTGCAGCTGGACGGGTGGGGAGCGAGCCCGAGTGCACAGTCCAGAGGTGTCTGTGGGGCTAAGGCCCCCTAGGAGGGAGTGTGTGTGTGTGTGTGTGTGTGTGCGCGCGTGTGTGTGTGCGTGTGTGTTCGCGCCAGCAGCGTCCTCCTGGGGTCAGGACTTTTTGTGTGCAGCTGTAAGATGATGGGAGAAACGAACGTCTGGAACAAGTGGAAGGGGGCTGTTTTTAAAGGGGCCCGTTCGACTTTCAGGGTGCTCAGAGTTGGTTCTGCTTTTCCAGGAGCGTGTGGAATTGCAGGAGGTAGGAGAATTTTGACGGGTGGGAGACTGTCTGACCTGAAGGGCTTTAAAGAGCTCTGGGGATTTGTTTTGATTTGGGGATAGGGTGGCAGTGACTGAGTTACTTGAAACCGAGTTGTGTAGCTGTAGGGATGTGGCAGTAGAGCTAAGAATACCCAAACCACACACCAGCAATCCCAAACAGGCACTTTCTGGGTGTGGTGGGGTGTTCTGGCGCTCCCCCATCCTTTCTCTGCAAGTTCAAATGGGTTTGCACAAGTTTTTGACCCAGAGTTACCTCAGTGAGTGGACCAAGGGCAAAGTCTTATTTTGGTTTCAAGCCCTTCTGCCACTGCCAGGCGCCCTGTACCTAGCACACATTTGTCACCTAGTCCTTTGTTGCAAACAGCCATTTGATGAATGCAATTTTAAAAATTCGGGAATGTGAAAACATTCCTGATTTATTCCGCAACTGCATTTTAAACAGGCAACCCAGCAATGAGATGATTTTTTTTTTTTCATTCCTTTGGTTACAGCCAATAAATCAATCTCCATTTTCTCAAGGACAGCATGGAAAATTTTAAAACAGTCTTGCTGCACCGAGATGGGGGCTGGGAAGCTCGTACATCTGGGTGATCTGTTTTCCGAACTTAAAGTAAATCTGAGGCACGAGGTTGGCCATTTTGAGGTGTGTAACAGGTTTCCCAGGAACATTTCTGAGGTCTCATAATTGGCACTTTTTAACAGTCTTATAATTGAAACTCAGAAGGTTCCCATGGTGCTCTTGAAGCACCTTGGGGTCAGTGGGACAGAGGTGGTGGGGGGGATAGCAGTGAAGTTATGATTTTCTTTTTATTTTTTTCCACCAGCTGAGTTTTTGGAGTGAGTTTATGCAAAGAGGTGAAAATGAAAGAAGTACGAGTTGCCTCATGGTACCACTTTGCTGACACTGGCTGCCCCCTTAGAGATTTATTACTCGGGATGCAGCCCTTCAAGAGGAGAGAGGCTGTCCACACCTATAAAGTCTGAGGACTCAGACCTCAGACCCTGACACTTTCATCCTCTTTCAAGATATCTCAAAAGAGCAGCCTTGCCACAGACACTCACTAGAGAGAAATTGCCCCAGCCACAGATGATTGGCTTTACCTAGGGGAGAAGGTTGAGAGGCCAGAATAGCGGGTTCTTTGACCACAACTGGAGAAGGAGGTGCGGGGGTGGGGTGGGGAAACACACACACAACAGAGCAAACCCTCCTTGGTTGTTCATTGGTCAGCCAACTCATGAGAAGGAGTGTAATTTACTGATATGTGCCTTTCTATCCTCTACATGGGACCGAAGCTTTTCCTTTCTTTGAAGTCCTTTTTCAAGTGTTTCAGATGCCAGCCCTCTTCAGCTACTTCTCTGTGGTTTCCATGGCCTAAAAATGAATAGGAGATTTTACTCTTGTAATAATTCAGTTGACTTCCCCAAGGTCCCCCAGGGTTTAAGAACAGAGGGCAAGAAGTTAAGCTAATGATCATAATGTCCCACAGGGCCCTAGCGGGTCTGGGTTCGAAGTCAGCAGTTCCTGATAGTGTTAATGAGTGATAGGCTTCTCTCTCTGTCTTTCAAACTACAATGGAAGACCGAGTGAACCAAATAATTGCTCTTCAGTACTTTCTGAGCTCTGAATAAGAAAATATTAACCTGGCACCAAAAGATATTATATATTTGGGAGTTCGCTTTCTTTCCTCCAAAGTCTTAAGCCCCTTTACCATCTGGAAAATTATGGGAAAGGGGGAGGGAATGAAAATTGGGGAGGGAGAAGGGTGAAAGTGATATATCCCTTTAGAACAATTTATTTACTTTAACATCTTAACTTCTTGTTACCTGCATACTTTAATTCAGTTAACAGAGTGCGTCAGACACTAGGCTAGGAGTGTCCTTGTCCCAAGGGTTAAGTTGTTTCAAAGGATAGTTATGTTTTATTTATTGCCCAAACATCTACTACTAATTAAGAAAATGTTTTAGAGATTACCCACAATCCTGAACCGTAACAGGACTTGTTGTTCATTCATGTACACATATACTTTTTACATAGTTGTGATAAAAGTATAAAACCCTTTTGTCATTAGTCAACCCTCAAGTATCCATGCATTTTTGACGGAAAACCTACAAAAACCAGATGTGTCCAACAACTTTGCTGTTGGTGAACGTGACCCAGATCTTGAGTATGCCCCTACATGAAAGCTTAACATGTAATATTTTCATAATTTATGAAGCTGAAGCAAATATTTGGGGTTGGGAGGTGGGATAGGAGAGGGCATTTGTTTTTAATCTAGAAATTCTTGTTTATAGAAAGCTTTTCTAAGGAAGAGTTTTGCATCCTGGAGCCCTCGGGGTTGGTATGGGTAGAGAAGGGAGGAGAGAATGCAGGAAGGGAGGTTTAAAGATCCATCTCAAGTGGCATTGCCTTTAGGATTTGGAAACTTGGGTTGGAGCCCTGACTCTGCCTATGAACTCCTTCATACCAACTCAAACTACTGAACTAGTGTCTTCCTGCGTCTCCTCTGTTAGACTTTCCTCCATGCCTGCCCAGTCTTTCCTCCCTGCCTTCCGTTATTCCACCGTCTGCACCATCTTTTCCATCCCTGCTCCCACCACGCTTGTTGATGCCCCTGGCCGTTGTTCATGTATGTCTGTGCCCCCATCACTAGCCTTTCTCCACAGTCCTAGAATCAAGTCACCATCCAGTTGAAAAATAGCCTAAGGTTAAAATCCAGACTTTTTTTCTCTTTTTTTAAAAGTTTTATTCATGGTCATTATTATTATTGAAGTTGACCAGAGAGCAGGAAAGTGAGAAATCAAGCTGCCAGGTCCGGGACTCAATCCATGGTCAGCCATGTGGGAGACTAGCCACCTTAACCACCACGCCACCTGCTGGTCCCTGAAATCCAGGTTTCTTAGCCCTCTCATATGTGGCTCTGTCCCAAGTCATGGTACTTATACTTCCATAGGAACCTCTTCTTCAGCCTGACCCATCTAGTAGCTGACCCTTGCTTTCAGCCTGCCAGATTCCTGCCTTGCCTGCTGCCTTCCTCTCTCATCCCTTTTCCCTATAAGGCCACCTTATTTTGTATGAGGCCTGCTTATAAAGTGTTCTTCAGGAGTCACTGGTGAATATCAATAAAATCAAACTGCTGGACACAAAGGTAATGATTTTGTAAAATGTCATCACTGTTCTTTTTTATTTTTTTTAGAGGATTTTGCTATAGGGCGCGTGTGCTCGCCAGACAGAGAGAGACAGAGACAGAAAGCGAGAAATCACCCCCCAGGGGGGATGGTCACGCCGCAATCCCTTCTCCTCCTTTCTCCTCTCGGGATCT